GGAAGGCCCTCTATGAGGTGGATTGATTCAGTGACGGGTAATCGGGATGGGAGTGTCAGAGACAATGCGATTGGCACAGGACAGAGCGGAGTTTAGGGCTGTTGTACATAGGGTCGCTATGAGTCTCAAACGACTCGACGGCACATAACAACAACAACACAAACTACTGGTGGCCCTCTTACACCTGCTGGACATGGACCTTCTGTAATTGTCGTGTTTATGTCTTAGTAAAAGAACCTTTGTAAAATAGATTTGAATAGGAGGTGCCTTATCCCTGGAACAAGTAGCTGACCCTAGTGAGCTGCAGTTTCCTCACCTCATCCTGTCCACCTTCCTCTGTGAAGCTGTGGGGTGGGGTACATCTCAGCGAGGAACCCTGCCCTCCACCCAGTTCACACTGTGACTTTTCAGGGCTCCTCCCTTGGCCCCTGTTAAAAATGAATTTCCACAGTATTTCATCTGAGGTCTGGTTGGGAAGTCCATCAAGGAGTCCCAAGCTTGGTAAAAGTAGGAGGAGTTTTAGAAACCCAGACACACAGGAACAAGGAAGCTTTGCTGGGAAAACATTTTGGATCGGATGATGGATTGTTTCTTCTGCTACTTGAGATTAAAAGACAATTCTGAGCTAGGTTAAACTTAAGCAAGTCCTGATGCGCTGAATTCTTGGATTCCTGCACCTGGGAAGCTTAAAAAAGTTTCCCTTTGCACACATCGCTCCATCCTGGCTCTTAGTCCAGTTAAGTCATTACTTTCAAACAGGTACATTTATGATTCTAATGGAGTTGGGAATTGTTTTCACTATATTTCGAAAAATAATAGCTCTAAGTGAGCTGCCAGTTCATGGCCACAGGTTGAATGGGTAAATAATGTGTTTTCCTTTTTTTGTTTGATGTCTCTCAGCCATGGAATTCCATGAACACCTGCACAGTATCGGCACCAAGGAAGGTCTGAAGGAGCGGAAGCTGCAGAAGGCAGTGGAGAGCTTTACCTGGAACATCACCATCCTGAAGGTACCGCGGGGTCTTTTCAGCTGTGAGCCGTTCTGGGGTGTTTCCTGTGTGTGTGTGTGTGTGTGTGTGTGTGTGTGTGTGTGTGTGCGCGCGCGCGCGCGCGCACGCACCTTCCCCTCAGGAGAGTGTGTCATGCATTATACACTTGGAGCTGCTCCCTGGTCTCCGGAATCCAGTGGAGAGCTCTGTGGACCACCAGAGAACACACTGATATGTCTCAGAGAAAGTGCAACCGAATGGTTCTTTGGATATAAAAATGGTGATGCTTCATCTCACATATTTTGGACCTGTTGTTAAGAGAGGCTATTGGTTCCTTGGAAAAGGGAATCATGCTTGGAAAGGTGAGAGGCCAGTGAAGGAGAAGATGACCCTCAGTGAGATGGACATTGCTACAGTGACTGTGGCAATGGGCTCAAAGGTATCGAGGCTGACCGGGATGATGCAGGATGGGACAGGGTTCAGATGTTGTTCATGGGCTCGCTCTGCGTTGTACTCAGCTCCACAGCACCTCAAAGCAGCCCTCCCCGGGTATACTAGCCAACTGACCAACATGGGTAGAATTGTTGTGCTGGCTGTTGTACTTGCGGGTTTTGTCATTGGTGCTTTGCAGAGTCTGGTAAAAGAGAATAGATCTTACCATGTTATTGTAAATTCCATTTGCTATATGGGAACTAGAAAATACCATATGAGAATTAGGAAATACTGTTGTTAGATGCCATCAAGTTGGCTATGATTCTTTTTTTTAAAATTTATTATTAATATCAATGAAAATTTACAGAGACTTTGGATTTCCATTCATTCATTGTTGCACTTTTCTCCCTTCCCAACCCTCCCCCCCAGTACACTACCCTCTTGGAAAAGTAAAAGAAAAATTTTTCCATTGTTTTACAATCCCTCCCCCAGGTCCACTCCACTATGCAGCCTTCACTCTGGACTCCTGTCATGACAAAAATACCTAATAACATATGCCTTTTAAACAGTTTCTCCCTCATCTGTTTCAATGCAGTATACATTACTGAACCCATCTTTCTCAGTCTCCCCCCAACACCGAGGTCAGTCGTGTTTTACAACAGTGGCACCATGCAGTATTTGTCCTTTTGTGACTGAGATACTTAAGAATAATGTCCTCCAGGGTCACCCATTTTGAATAATATTGCATGAGTTCCTTGCTTTTCAATGCAGCGTAGTATTCCATTGTGTGAGTATACCACAGCTTCTCTATTCATTTGTTTGTTGATGGGCACTTAGGTTGTTTCCAACTCCTTGCTATTGTGAACAAAGCTGCGATAAACATGGGTGTGCGTAAATCTGCTTGGGAGGCAGTTATGGTCTCTTTGGGGTATATTCCCAGTAGTGAAATTGCTGGGTCGAATGGTATCTCTATTTCCAAATTTTTGAGAAAGCGCCATACTGCCTTCCACAGTGGTTGCACCATTTTACACTCCCACCAACAGTGAATAAGGGTTCCAATTTCTCCACAACCTCGCCAGCATTTGTTGTTTGCTGTTTTGTTAAATTTTGCTGTTCTTACGGGGTGAGATGGTATCTCCTAGTTGTTTTGATTTGCATCTCTCTTAGAGCTAGGGATTTTGAACATTTCTTCATGTGCTTGTTGGCCATCTGAATGTCTTCTTTGGTGAAGTGTGGCTGTGATTCTAAAAACCTTATAAACAACAAATCTGGCCCTGCCCTGAGCCATCCTCACTGTCTCTGACGTGCTCCAGCCACTGTTAGAGTGACCGTGTCAGCCCGTCCTGTTGAGGGGTTTCCTCTCTTTCTCTGGCCTTCCACTTTTCCCAGCACAATGTCTTCTTTCAGGACTGGTTCTTCCTGACAACATGCCCACAGTATGTGAAGACCAATTTCACCCTTGCCTCTAAGGAGAACCCTGATTGCACTTCCTCAAGACAAATTTGTTTGTTCTTTTGGCAATCCAGGGACTAACGGGGATTTAAAGCTTCTCAACAACTCAACTCATTGCTGTCGGGTCAGAACTGACTGTTGGGTCAGAACTGACTCTAAGCTGACTCTCCAGCGAGATTCAGAGGCTGTAAATCACACAGAAGGAGACTGCCCGTCTTTCTTCCTTGGAGCAGCTCATCAATCCAAGCCTACTTGGCAGTGCAACTCCTTACGCACTAGACCCCAGAGACGCCCAGACGTGGTTTAACCCTTTAAAGCAGAGTCCCAGCTTTCCTATGAGTGACTTCTTGCTAGGTGCTACAGTCACTTCCAAGTCATAGCGGCCCGGTGTGTGTAACGTGCATGAACCGTGGCTTGGCCTTGGGCCATCCATGCAAGAGTAGCATCTGTGAGCCCATTGCTGCGGTCATTGTGTCAGCCCATCTCGTCCAGCATCTTCCTCTTTGTTGTTGACCATGTCCTTTGTCAAACAGGATCCCTCTCGCAGGCTCCATTCCAGTCTAAGGCAGTACGGTGTGGCTACTGTATTTTTACACAAATCATGCATGGTATGCACTTTTCTTGGGTATCGTTGTTGTTTTGTGCCATCAAGTTGACTACAACCTGTACCAACTCTATGCCCAGTAGCTCTGAACCCTGCCCTCTCCTGAGTCAGTCTCACTGTGTCTGACACACCTCCCCCAATACCGCACCCACTGTGTCAATCCATGTGTCACCCAGGGTCTTCCTCTCCTGTGTTGTCCTCCTACCCTTCCATGATGTCCTTCTCGAAGGAGCAACTTGAATTCACCCTCTCCAGGACAGACCTGCTTGTTTTCTTGGCAGCCCATGGGATGTCCAATACTCTTCTCCAGCACCACAACTCAAAGGCATCAATTCTTCTTCTGTCGTCTTTAGTCATTGTCCAGCTCTCTGCTGCATAGGAAAAAATGGCTAAGACTGTGGCCTAGATCTGATGCACTGAAGTCTCTAGACTGACGCCTTTGCTCTGCAGCATTCCGAAGAGTTCCCTGACAGCAGATTTCCCCAATATCATTCGTCTTTTGATTTCCTGATTGCTGGTGCCAAGAGCATTGATTGTGGAACTGAGCAAGCTAAAATTGTTAACAACCTCAATCTCTTCTCCATCTATCACGGTGCTGCCGATTGGCCCAGCGGTGAGAATCGTTGTCTTCTTGATGTTGAGTCTCAATCCATATTGAAGGCTCTAGTCCTTGATCTTCTGCAGTAAATGCCTCAGGTCCTCTTCAAATTTGACAAGCAAAGTATTAGTTGCTCCTGGGTATTGTTTTTTGGGTTTTTTAATTAGCATATGTAGGGAAATAGCTTGCATGGTGGGCAAAACACATGTAGCACATGCATTGTTCACACTATAAATATGGCCATGTTAACCCCAGAAAAAAGAAGGCAGAGTTGTTTTGGCTGTTGTTAAGTGAAATATGTAAAGGAATTGTCGTTTGAAAGACATTTTCCCGTAAGGGAGAACATTTATCAGTTTTATATACAATAACTTTTATTAGAAAAGTATTATTTTTTTTTTATTAAAGAAGACGTTAAAATCAGAATGAGCAAAGAAAAACAACCCCAGCATTCAAAGACAGTGGTACTTACTGTTGATGTCTCGCTGTACATTTTTTTTTCTGTTTGGATTTATTTAACATGCTTTGGTTTTGTGGGTTTGTTTGTTTGTTTGTTTTAATGTTATGTATGTACCAGGGAACTTTTTCCAAGGTTTATCTCAATGGTTTTTCTTTTTCTTCCTCTCGACCATGAGCACTTGGATAATAATAGCACAGAGAAGTCCCTTCTCTCCACAGCTTGGGCAGCAAATGTGAAATGATTCTCTCCTATCCGTCCTCCACACTCAGCTTAGTTGAAGTCAAGACCATGAAGACATTATCAACAGCTGTCTCTTTTCATTCCTTCCTTCCCCTCCTGCTAAATGATCCATCCCGGCAGCTGACAGCCGTTTTCTGATTTGATTTAGTCAGATGTCTTCTTTCCAAAGCTGGCTAACTTGCATTTCCTCCAGTTAAACCCCTACTCTTTTTTTATAATTAAAGTCATTTTCTTGACTCCTTCAAACACTTCCCTTCCTACACATGTACTTTTTTCCCTCTATCTCTAAATCTTTTGCTTTGAATTTAGCTCTGGTGGTTTGCAGTTCAGTAAACAAGCAGACATACGAATTTACGACGAGAAGGAATTTGGGCTTTAGAACTAGTTTGCTGCTCATGCCGACAGAGGTAGGGGTAGACTTCTTGCAAACCTTGGGACAATATCACGGTAGTCTAAGCTGAGCTAGAACACACATTCATCACATACAGATGTGCTGTTGTGAGATGCCGTCAGATCGACGCTTATCTACCTCTGTGAACTAGAGAGCTGAACCTTGCCTGGCCTCGGCTTCTCTGATAAACCCCAGCCCGTGATCCGGTGTCAGTCCTCTTGTTGAGAATCTTCCTTTTTTCCTCTGTCCTTGTACCTTTACTACCAAGATGTCTTTTTCCAAGAACTGCTCCCTCCTGACCGTATGCCCATATTGTGAGAGACCATCCTGGCCTCCCAGGAGCACCTAGGTACACTCCCTCCAAGACCCAGCTGTTTGTTCTTCTGGCTGTCCGTGACCTATTCAGTACACTTATCCAACAGCACAGCTCAAAGGCAGCTGTCCTCCCGTCATCCTTTTCAGACTTCTCCTTGTTTGCTGTCAAGTTGGAACCGACTCATAGAATTAGAGTCAGCTGGCCTTGCCACTTCTAAGTGGTACAGGAAGGTGTGGCGTCTGCCTCATCTGTGAAAAATGCAGCCTCCCAGCCTGAGGTCCGCTGCTGACACACATTAAGGTTTGGGCAGTACCAGGCTGAAAGCCCCAGCAAATGGAACCTGGTGCGTTAGTGCAAAGCACGGACAGAGGAGAGCAGCAGATTTTAACAACGAGGAAGGGAGCCAAAGAGCTGCGCCGTGGAAACCAACTTTCTTTTGATTTATGTCCTAGTGAAGAGAATGAATACCTCAGACTTGCACTTATGCAGGAAGAATTGCATCAGAGGGGTAACAGGTGTTTAAGGTTTTCA